TCCATAACATTGTAAGATTTAAATGATTTACATGTAAAGTGCTTAAAACAGTGCCTAGCACATGAAAGTGCTCAATAAGTATTAGGTGTTCTAATTTTTATTCTTGAAATTATTCTCAGGGACTCTACTTCACCTCCCATTTTTGTTAACCTGCTCCAATCAGGCTTTGTCCACCATCGCAAGGTTTGTCAAGGTTTACCAAATTCCTCCATCTTGCAAAATCCAATGGTCAACTCCCAATCTTCATCTTATCTGAACTACAAGAAGCATTTGACAGAGATGATCAGCTTTCTTAAAATATTTTCTTCCTTTGGTTTCCAAGATACTATATTCTTCTTTTTCATTTTCTTTAATGGCTGCTCTCTCTTAAGTTTCCTTTAATGGACTCTCTTCCTGATATCTAAATGTTGGCATATACCAGGGCTCTGTCTTTAGTTTTCCTCTTGATTCAAGTTACACAAAGTAATATTATCTAGTGCCATGGCTTTAAATATTACCTGCTGATTACTCCCAAATTACATGCTTAGCCTTGACCTAATATGGATGCATATCCAGCTAACCATATAATGACTGTCCTTAGACGTCTCATGGGCATCTCAAAATTGACATGTCTAAAATAGAATTCCTGATTCCCCATAAGGCTGAATTTGCTATTTATAGCTTACATCTATAAAATGATTTTTAAGTTCTGAAAGCATTTTCTTATACATTTAAAGTATTATCTTTATAAAAACTCTGTTAGGACAGCAGGTGTTAAATACAACTGTCAGATGAACATTCTATGACTCAGATATGTTGGGCAGGTTTTTTTTTTTTTTTTTTTTTGCGGTACGCGGGCCTCTCACTGTTGTGGCCTCTCCAGTTGCAGAGCACAGGCTCCGGACGCGCAGGCTCAGTGGCCATGGCTCACGGGCCCAGCCGCTCCGCGGCATGTGGGATCCTCCCGGATCGGGGCACGAGCCCATGTCTCCTGCATCGGCAGGCGGACTCTCAACCACTGCGCCACCAGGGAAGCCCCTGGGCAGGTTTTCTTAAGAGGCCATATTTGATATCTTATATAACCCAGAGTAAGCAATAGCATCCAAGTCTCCTTATTCACCCTATGTGCTTTCTACAAGGTTGTGATGTTTAGCAAGATATATTTAAGCTTTAAAAATGGTGAGTTTCCGCTCAACAGTCAAAGAAGGATACAAAATAGCCTGGGAAAAGAAGAGAGATATGACTTAGCTACTATGTGTATTAACCAACATATCTTTATAAATGGTTTCCCCTTCATCAATTATTGTTTATGTATGATTACTGATCCTACATAATCATAATCCAGAATAATTTTGACATTCTTTAGAAAGATACCATTTTGCTGAGTTTTCTACTCTTCAGAAGTCAAGTAAGCAGTCTTTATCTGGTCTTGAAATCCATACTGGTAAAATGATATTTACTTTTACAATGAGTATCATTTTAAGAAGTTGAAGATATTATGGTATATCATTAATTAAATGATAACTATAAATTAATTACATGCAGATCTCCATGCAAAGGCCAGAAAAATCAAAACAAAGGATCTATTGTAAGATGCAACATCATAAATCCATTCATTGTTTTAGATAATGTTATCATATGATCAAAGAGTTTAGGTATTAAATTTGAAGATTTCAGTTTTAAACACTGTTAGAGCTTGTTACTGCATTTTTAAGAAAAGAAAACATAAAAACCTTACTTGAGACATATACACAGAAATACAGAATTTAGAAACCCACTGGAAGTTTGGAGTCCAGTAATTACAAAACAATCTCTGTTGGCTATTCTACAGTTAATCTCTGGCTTTAAAATGAGAGATATTCTGAATTCTATTGTCAATGTAGGTCGAAGCTATACGTTGTGTACGTAGGAATGCAACTGCACATTTTAAGAGTGATCAAAAATTTAACAATTATAATGTTACTGAATATAAATGTAGACAACAACAAAAAGGAACACGTTATTTTCTGCTATGCTATATACATAAGAAGGGGCTATATGATATAACAAAGAACTAAACTACATTTCTTAAACCTGCTAACATCACAGTGTTTTTGACAATAAAAATCAAATCAGTGTATGGTCAACAGATCTCTATTTTTAAATAAAAATATTGTCAAAGAAAGATATATGGGATATTAATGCCAAAACTATGAAGACATGAAATTGATCATTGAGAAATATTGACCATCTTCTTCAAACGTTCTATACTCTTAGCTTCTGTGATACTACTCTCTCAGAGTGTTTGTCCTTTCTTCATGATAATTTCTTCTTGGTCTTCATTGGCTCCTGTTCCTCTGTCCAATTCTAAAAGGTTAATCTTCCACAGAGCACTGCCTTCACCTACTGCTCTTTTATCTGCAGTGTTCTTCTTGGGCAGTCTCACTCATGTTCATGGTTTCAAGCAACCTCTAAACGTTATAACTCCCAGATTTATGTCTCTGGTTCTGACACAAGCTTTAGAAGAGTTTATTTAAATACGTTCTAGACATTTCTACTTGGATGTTCCATAGATATCTCAGATTCAAAGTATCCTAAATTGACACCTCTCCTTCTCCCAACCTATTCCTTCTTTTATACTTCCAATATCCATTAATAGCACCACAACCATCCATCCAGGGATGTTAAGCCAGAAATATGGGGATTACCTTAGAATCTTCTCTCCTTCACCTCCCCACATCCGACCCATGAATAAATTGGGTGACTGACTACTAATTTTGCTTGTTAACAATCCCCTGAATTTATCAACCCCTCTCTATCTTTATTATAACTGACAACTCACTTAGTTCAGGATCTTATCTCTTATCTGAAATATTGTACTATTCTGCTAATTCATCCTAAAATCCTCTTTACCAGATGCTGACTTAGGTTTACTTCTTTATTGCAGCTCCACTAGATATAAGCTCCAAGAGAAGGATCTCGTCTTGTCCATGTTTTCTTTAAAATACAGCATATGGTAGATGCTCAAAAAATATTTGTTAGATAAGTAAATGGCTGCCTGAATGGCCTACAAAATATATATTATGCAAATCTATCCATATCAATTCTCTACTGAAAACCCTTTAAAACTTCCTATCACCTACAAATTAATATGATCTATGAGACTCTCCATGACCTATCGACCTTGCCTCTAGCCACATTCAGTCCAAAATTTTTTGTTAAAATCACATCTATTTCCTATCATTCCTGTATATGTAATACTTCCATTCCTTTGTCATTACGGTTTCTATCTGGAACACCTTTCTAATTGTCCTTTACCTGGTTAGCAATCACTCTTTTTTCAGGCCTTGGATCAGGCAACATCTCCTCCAGGTATTCACTCCTGGAATTCAAACAATCCTCCTCTGAGCGCTCAGCACACTTTCTATGTAATTCTAGTTTTACCACTGACATAGGATCTTGAAGCAATCTGTTGAAGTATCTATCTTCTACTAGAGTATAAGCAACTCAGGTTATAAATGATTTCTTATTCATCTGTGTTCTCCATGTGCCTGGCACATAGTAAATGCTCAAACCCCTGAATGAATAGAATTATTTATTTCATTTAATACCACATATTCTCTAACTTGTAGTTTTATCAGTGCCTATTTTAGGTTCTTCATTTTTTAGATTAATAGACTTTTTTTAGAGCAGTTTTGGGTTTACAAATGTTTGTAAGTTTTAAAGAGAAAAATGCAATAAATAAAGTTCTAACTGTGAGAGAAAAAAACCTCTCAATTTCAAAAGGCCAACATCTATCATTTTAGCACAACACAGTTAATTATGTGTAAATGCTAGCAATTTAAAAAATCCTTTAAATATGATCTCTATGTCCATAAATTAAATTTCTAATTCTATGTTAAAATACAAAGTAACATTTTAAAACACCAAGTGAAAAATTACTCTAACATAATCACATGAAATATAGTAAGTTACAACCAGGATATAAGGAATGCCATCAAATAATTATTTCAAAATAATACTATTATATAAGGCTCAAATTCCAGAATCACTGTTACAGTTTGTAAAACCAAGGTTAGCCGGGTCCAGGAATTAACATATCCTTAAATTCTTTTGTGCTGTAGATTTACGCCCTGGCTTCTCTGTACCAGAACCCTAGTATTCAGGCACAAATGAGATTTAATCCATTTGCCTATAATTTATTTGCTGTAAAAGAAACACCATATTATATGCTTTTGTTTGTGTGTTAAGTAGAAGATATGCTATTATTTCCAAGATACCAGGGACTTAATGCTTAATTATCAACACCCATTTGAAAAAAGCCATTGCTTTGACTCACAAATTTCTTAATTACTAACAGTGGCTTTTCTGAGTAGGAGTGTGGTATCTAATTTATTTTTGCAGATGTGATTCGAGACTGAATTTTAAAGTAGCAAAGCTTTGAGTATCTTCCCTGTCAGCAGAAAATTCCTCCATCCCTGCTGCTGGAGAATATTGCTGCTTGAAGTGTTAACAGGGAAATAAAAACTGCAGTGAGAAAATTGATACAACTGGTAAATGCTGCTTACAAACTGAAAAAGAAGTTAGGCTGTCAGCAATAAATGAAGTATATTATTCACACAAAATACGTGGCGTCATCTTCATCACGGTAACTTGCTGGGAGGGGAAATTAACTTGGCTGGTTCCAACTTGAGGAACCTAAAGAAAAGTAAATATCTCACAGATCAGAGTACCTTTACAGAGGACCAGCAACTGACAATCAGGAGGACCACAGCCTAACTCCTCTCTGAGGAGAAAAGACGTTAAGTGCATTTCAAGAACAGTAACCAAGGTTCACTGAGAAGCAGGTTCACTGATCACTGAAAAACAAAGTCATTGTTATATTTTCGGAAAAGTTAACTAGTTTAAAATATGCCCCTTTCCTTCTGGAACATGTCATCATCTACACATTACTGAGACAGAATAAATAAGAGAAAAGAATATGTATTTTAATTAATTACAACTCAATTAGGAAGTCAAAAGAGTAACATAAAAATGCCTACCCGTTTGGCTGAGCTGAGAAGCACTGCGGCTTTTCCGGGAGAGACCAACAATAGCTACCATTTTGGCCCCAATGCTAGAGCGCCGCTTTTTGCTGCTGGTGCCCAAGGCGCCCACTGCAGTGTCAGACTGGCTGCCATCATTCTTCTCCAGCGAGCACATGTCTCCGCTGATGCTGGTGCTTTTAGTCATGTTCTTCCCTGAGATGCCCATTTGTCTGCTTTGCATTTTGGATGTAAAGACACTGTAGGCCGATGGATCATTAAAAGTGAGGACAAGAGTAAAAAGGAAAAGACAGAAAAGGTATTTTAGATGAAATATCTGGAGTATAATTCAATTATATCATTAGTGGGACATATTTTAGGACTCAAAAATTTTCAAATACCATGGTCTTGAATGGGTTTTACTATTCAGGGCCAACCTTAACGTAACTATCCAAGATCAGACGTGATTTCCTTTCTGCTTTCAAAGAAGGCACAGGTTTGCGTGGTCACAGGAAAAAAATATTTGCGAAAAATCAGTGGGCTCATTTAAAAGAATATGCTGTCCTGCAAGAGCAATACACTTTGAGGCAGCCATATAACATATGAAAGAAGTTTCCAAAGCATTCTTCTCGAATTTGCTTTACTATAGCTTTCAAAGAGAAATTTGATGAGTGGGGAAATTTTACAAAAAATGGCAAAAATTACAGCTTCTATTGCCAAGAGTGGCTCTTTCAGTTTTCTCATTTTATTAATAAGATTTTTCTAACAGCTGTTAAATTTTCTAACAGGGATTGATGTTTTCATTAGTTTTGAATTAAAAATAATTTATTTCACTTTACACTTTCATATACTGATATAAGTTTATATTCCAAAAATGAAGAAAAGATTTTCCTCTTGTATTCATTTGAAAGAAAGAAACATTACCAGTTTTCTAGACAATATGGTCAGAAGGCAATAATCTTTTAAACATTTTAAAATGTTTAAAATATTTTTTCCCCTCTATCCTAGAGTAAAACCTACTGAAAGGTTAGGACCAGGGATCAAACCTGGGCCCCCGGCAGTGGAAGCATGGAGTCCTAACCACTGGACCACCAGGGAATTCTCAACACATGTTACCTTTATTAACCTATGTTCGTTTCCTCCAAGTATTTAAGAGGGAAAAGACTCAGTATGAAATTTTTAAAAAAGACAGTAAATTGTACTGTTCACATTACTTCACATTAGTTTTAAGAAGAAATGAGGCATAAATAAACAAGAGAGAAAGAGAGGAGACAGTGTATAACACTTCCACAATGCCCCAAATCAATCATTTCCAAGCTTGTTTAATTTTGCTATTCTTCAATAAGCAACTATAGAGTAAAGTAGAAAGAGTTTTGGAGGCAACAGATGGGGGCTTAAATCCCAGATTTGCTGCTACTTAACTGACTTCCTTTAGAAATGTTAATTGCTCTACTTGACCCTCAGGTTCCTCATTTATAAGAGAATATCTTATTGTACTTTCTTATATTAAAGAATAGGGATAATATGTCCAAAGTAAAAATTCAGTAAATAAAAATTAATATTAGGGAATATAGACAATAGATAAAATAAGGTTAAAGCCCTTCAACATGTATTATATATGTAAATACTTAACAGCATCAATAGAAGTGATATTTATAATTATAAATTTTAAAACTTCTGAGATTCAAATGTCTAAACTGGTTTTTCATATAGCCAGCACTATGTAATGGAGAGTGGACTATACTGGGAGCCAGGAAATCTGGGTTTGATCTTTGGCTTTACTGACTGATCTTGGGAGAGTTGTTTTCCTTTCTGGAACTTAACTTCCTCATTTAATAAATGAAAAAACCTAAGTAAAGCACTAAGCGGAATGGGAAACACATAAGAGCTCCCAAAATTATTCTCTTCCTCCTTCTCCTTATTATTATCACCACCACCAGCACCATCATCACCCATTAAGCATCCATTAAACATGCTGAACTGGAATATCTATAAGGTCCCTTTTAACTACGAAACATTTTGCTCCCCAAGTATCTCTTGTTTCATGGATTCTGGGCAAATGAACATAAAAATGCAACATATGACTTCTATGGTATGCTATCGTCAGAAAAGGCATGGCATAGTCTAGGAAAGTCAAAGTTTAGTTGAGACTAAGACTTTCAAAATAATATGTTCCGTAGTCTCGATAACTAGTACTCCTGTCATGTAGGAATTTTTACCCCAAACATACTTTTCTAAAAGAACCTCCTAATCTACTGCCTACCAAGGAAGTCAAAGATAGACTCTCAAAATATTGTACCTTGTGATTTTTGCATTTTAATTATCATGGTTGGATATAAGGGCATAAAGAACTTGGCCAAAATTAAGCAGGATATAATAAAATACTAACTGAATGGATAAATCAGATTATAGATAAGTATTTTAATGACCATTTGGTTTTAAAGAAGTATACTTCTCTTCAACCTAACAACTTTGATAATGCATTATCTACAAAAAAGGTTACTAAGTTTTGTAAAATGGTTCTACTTCTCATCTCCTTGAAGCTTAGAGATCACCAGGGATGAGTTTACGAGTAGTTGCTCTCCAGTGCTGTGTTTTGAAGAGACGGAGACTGAGGCTAGGCTATCACTACTGGTTTCCTTTACTTTCCTCACTTGGACATCACCTAAAACTATAAGCAAACAATACTGCAAGCAAACAAGCTATCAGCCAACATTTTAATAGTTTTGTGACTCTTTATTTAAGGAATACTTTGTAGTAAAGAATCTGTAAACATGGGCGATCATTTGGAATGCTTAGTGTAGTTAAGAAAGCACAGACCCATTCATTACATTATCAATTACTTTAAAAGAGAAATTTTGTAAGGGTCTGGTAATATGGTAACTTTCCAATACTGCTGGTGGTAGTACCAATGACAGATTTCTGAAGGGCAATATGGCAATATGTATCAAAAGCATTTAAAAAACATGCCTACCCTTTAACCTATTAATACTACTTTTAGGACTTATCCTAAGGGAAAACGGCAACGTTCATAGATTTAGCAAGAATGGTATTTACTGCAGAACTGATTACAATAGTAAAACACATACATACACATGGTAAAACTCCATAAATGTCCAACAGTAGAGGGTGTTTAAGTAAGTTATGTTCATCAATAAAATAGAATGTACCTTTGAAAATGCTGTTGTAAATAAATATTTATTGACGTAAAATATGTTCTTGATATGGGAGAAAGGGTAAGAGGAAGCAGGTATCTGCAACTTAGCTTTGGCTGGCACACATACCAAATAGGGATTTACCCTACTACTAGGGGACACAGGTAAATTCAAATCCCAGAGTGACACACTGTCACAAACAAACAAACGAAAAGAAATTCATATACAAAGAAATGAACATCTCTTGATAAACTGGGTAGTTCAGGAAACCTGGATTCATAGATGATCTACTAGTTATCTGCACAAGAGGGGAATTAAGGGAATATAAAGAAAAATAAAATATGTTCAGGATGTTTATGTTCTTTGGGAAAAAAAGTGTCATAGCAAGAAATCTAAAGGATGTACTGTGAACAGCATGCTAAAAGTAAATAGTTTTAATTTTCTCTGGTTGGTAGTTATGCTTTTTATTTCTATTTTGTTTTTTCCAAAATGAACATAAAAGGTATTGGTAACAAGAAAAAAATTAAAACAATCAGACAAATGAAAAGAGCAATCAAGGACGAAAACAGGCCAAATAATTCAATTTGCATAGTTCATTCCATGGGCTAAATGTGTACCATGGCTTTCAAGCTAATTCTAAGAGATTACTACACAATAATACTGGGCATTGATATAGGATGCTCAATTCCAGAAAGAAACACAGTGTTTCCACATTTCTAAATATTGTTTTATGCATGTTTTCTAATTTTTGGCATTAGAAAAATAATGAAGAACTTTATATATTTAGTATTCTTGAAATGTGTAAAATTGCCAATACAAGTGATTTATTTTATGACATGATTGTAGTTGTTGAAAGTTGTACCCCAAAATATTTTTTAAAGGGCAAATCTAGTATCACCTATCATTGGGAGAAAGGTAATGAAAGGCAGGTAAAATATTTGTAAATATTCTCCAAAGACTTAAATAGCATATTTACGGGATTATAGGAGCTATGTGATTAAGCTAAATGAAGTTTATAGGCCAAAAGTATTTTTAATAGGTTTGAATGAATAGAACTGAGTAGTCTAGCTGTTAAGATAAACAGCAAACACAGGACAAACTCTGAGTTTGTGAGAGTATGAGCATAAGAGTAACACTGTAAATAAAATATACAGTCATGAAAAAATATTTCATCTTATTGAGAGCTGGGAAGGTGGTTACGAGAGAACCTGCCCAAGGAATTAGAGACTAGAGTGACACAGAATTTTATGAATAAAGTATAGAGGGCCCAGCAGCTCATACAATGGAGTATGAGAACTTCAGCACAGGGGCAGAAAAGACACTTGAGTAGGACTATTTATAACATCTTAGGCTAGTAAGTGGTGCTAGAGAGGGCTTAGAGGGCTTAAAAGTTAGAAGACAATAGGAATAATGACAGAGGAGGAAAAAACCCAGTGAGACTGGCCAAGTTCCCAAACATTATGCCACCTTGAAAGACTTAATTCCCTTTCCTTCCCATTCCTGTGTTTCTGGAGGCAGATGCCAAGAGCTCACTGAATACCTGTCACTATGATCACTCAGATTCGATTGCACCAGTTGCCAGCATTGAGTGGAGGTCTGGATTTCGAGTGCGATTCCTTGAATTCTGGCATATTCCTTATGGGAGGGGGGAAGGGAGGGTAACAAACCCTGCTCCCATCTAAAGTTCACCTCACTAAACATTTTCTCTACATTAAATGTTATTTCTTTCCTAAAATGTGGAGTTTGAAATTATTATGATTCTATATTACAATTTAATAAGCTATATTTCCATTTACTCAAATGACCATCTACAGGTTTCGGCTAGTAAAGTAGTAACCATTTATTCAAATGTTTATTGAATATATATCCCCACAAATATAGGGATACAAAAATGGTATGACACAGTCCCTTTTAATTAATGTACTGGCAAATATATCAGCATGTAAAATGCAAATATAGCTGCATAAGAATGTGGTTTTAGCTTATAACTGAAATTCCAATGACCAGCTCTAACGTCAAGAAACCCTAATTAAGTTAAACATTCAAGAAAACATCTCTCTCTGAAGAGTATATAAAAACTGAGTTTCTCATGCTAATTCTTTGAT